GGGCAGCTCTCGGTGCAGCTCGCCCTCCCGGCAGGACCTGCGGGATGAGGACAGCAGCCCTCCATGAGGAGCAGAAGGGCAAGCAGGAGCTGATGTGTGCCGGCTGGAATCCCCCACCCCCTGAGGGCTGGATGGGAGAGGGGTGAAATTACACTTGGCAGAAAGCGGTGGCTACAGAAGGTGGTATTTTCGTTTTTGATTTTCTCACCATCCACATCCATTTTAACCGGCAGTTAGACATATTTCCCCCAAGTCTGCTTTGCCCACGACAGTAATTGTTGATTGCTCAGTCTTTATCTTGACCTATGAGCTTTTTCATGTCATTTTTCTCCCCATCCTGCTAGAGAAGAGATGGGGAAAGTGAGTGACTGGGTTATCATGTGGCTGCAATCCAGTCAGCTCACCACAGTGCGGTAGATAAATATAACTATTTTCTTTGCTGCCAGTCTAGTTATTAACCTTGACTTGTAATCTCAGTTCTCTTTGATGTTTTTAATCTCTGGCATAGTCTATTAATTTCTCTTCAGTCATAGCTAAAGCAAAAAAGCAGTTTTTACTAACACTCCTTTATATAGCTGTGGATATAAATTTAGCAAATTTCACCATTATCTAATACAATCTTGCTTATTTAATAAGTCAAGAGCATACATGGTAGTTCTAAACTTCATTGAAATTGTTGCAAAAACCACAGTGAAATTTGTCACAATGTTAATGCAGCTTTCTTCAGCGGTGGAGCTGTACAGCAAATATGATTGCTCTCCACCAGAGCTCAGAGTAAAACTGCTGCAAAACTACCTCCTGGTTGCAGAAACAAGGAAGATGGAGGAAACAAACCCTCCTGCCTTCTAAACCTTTCCTCAACTTGCCCATCAGGAAATACTGGGGGGGGGGGATGGGGAAGCAGCCATTCATATTTAGCTTTAGCATTTTCCATGTATTCAATCACACTTTTATAGTATATTTTATGAAGTTAAAAGAAAAAAATCTGCTTCTAAAGGTATGCACAAATCCATTTTTTGAGAATTTGAAAATTCTTCATCTATTTTACCCTACAGTAGTGAACACCCACAATGAAGACATTTTTGAAGCATTTTCCTTTATTTGTGTATTGCAAACACATCTGCACATCACATGCTTTAATAATTCTTGTTCTGTGAAAGTAAGACTGTAATTCATAGGTCTAGTACATTAATCATACCCTTACCTCAAAGAGCCATTTCTAAGAAAAAACTACAATCTTCCAAAAAAAAAAAAATCATTATATTGACTTTGTAACTATTAAGTCAACAACACCTCGTTTCTGTGATTGTTGCATTCAACTGGTAGGTCTTCCGTTTTGTTTCAGGCGTTATCTTATTAATCGAACTGCTTCTTAAATTAGCTTCTGTAAAAATTGTAAGACTCAAGGGAAACCTACTAGAAGCATTAAAAACATTTTGATGAGAGTAGGTTAAGAAGTAGCTAGTTATGACAAGGGGTGAACATCTGTTAGCCTGTGAGAAGACAAGCACTGAAACGTGGTAAATTCCTACACCACCTCAGCTACACCCGAACCTGTTTCGTGCCTATCATTGTGTATTTGAAGGCACAACATACCTCACAGCAAGCTTTGCCGTAAGAGCCCTAATCAATGACATTGAATTTACAAAATTAAATAAAAACTCGACAGTCTGGCGGTGGCGTTTGTGAGAGCTTGCTCTACTGTGAGCCCACCTTTGATTGTATCGTCAGCGAGAACCAAGGTACACCTGTAACATCAATACCATCAGCGCACTGGACAGCCACCGCCAACCCGCTACCTCGGGCTGCCAGCTCCTGAGGAGCCTCCCGAGCGAGAGGAACAAAGGCGGTGAACGTACCTTCCCCTCGCTGCGCCGGAGGCCAGGGTCCTCCCGGCACGTCCCCGGCACGGCCGGAGCGGTGCAGGGCTCGGAAGGCCCAGGTAGCCCGGTAGCCCCTCCCCGTCGCCGGCCCCGCCCCGCGGGGGATGGAGGGGCCGCGGCCGGGCTGGCGCTGGAAGAGGAAGCGGGACCGCGCTACCGGGCGGCGGCGGTGGGGTCACGAACTCTGACCTGTCACAGGGCACGGCACACATAACAAAACACCCCCGACCCCAACACAGCCCCGGCCCCCTCCCCTCCGCGGGCCCCACAGCCCCTTGCAGCCCCCGCGGGGGGAGGGAGGGCCGCTGCTGGGCACCGGCCTGCCCGGGCCCGGTCGGGTCACCGCCACTGCACCTTTGGCGCCCATTCCTGAGGTAAAAAACATTTTTTAAAATTGAAGCGGCCTGGTGGGTTTGTTTCGTGGGGGCCAGGACGAGGGAGGGGGCGCGGGGAGGCGGCAGCGGGCCCTACTCTGGACACCCCCGCGAGGGGAGGGGTGGGGTGACGGTGGGTTTAGGGGAGGGGGATTGCACGGCTCCGGTATTTGTCTGGTAAGCGAGCACCAGCCGTGGTCTGGCCTGGTCTACAGCTCCTGGAAAGAGGAAACGACCACTGTGGCGTGCTGGGTCGATCGGCGAGGCAGTCTGGTGCCGGAGCCGCTGTTTGCAGCGTGGGCCGGCTGAGGTCGGGGCTGGTCCGGTCGCGGTGAGCAAAGTCTGCTGTCCAAGGGGTGTAGGGCGATGGTCGCGGTGATGACGAGCGCGGGACACACAGAGGCAGAAGATGGAGTCTGAGCGGGCGGAGGCGGCGGCTTGAACCCGACCCTTTTACCTTTGCCACCGGGAGGGCGGAGGGGAGGGGGCGGCGGGTACTTTGCATACGGGGCTGAAACCGCCGCCATCTTACCGGCCGCTTCCACACTGCCATGCCTGGGTCTCCTCTAGGCGGATACAAAGCTGTACCGGAGGGGAAGGGAAGGGGCCTAATGGCGGCGGCAGCAGCCCCGCCTGGGCTCTGGCGGACGGCCAGCACCGCCATCTTGTGCTCAGTGAATCCCCGGGGGGCTCTCCCTCTGCTCGAGGGGCGGTACCGCCGCTGTTACAAGCGGGTGGCTCGGCCAATGGGCGATCTGCGGGGGAGCGCTGCGCCTGTCCTGAGGTCATTGGTCGGGCCAGGGGCGTGGCTCGACGACGCGCCGCGGGGAGCTGTCGAAGGCTCTTCAGCGGCGGATGGGGCGTGGCGCAGCCAATGAGGGTGCGGCGCGCGTGGCTCAGCCAATGGGGGCGCGGCAGGCCCGGCGCGGCCTGGCCGGGGTCGGAGCGATGCCGGCGCCGCTCGCGGTGCTCCTGCTCGGCCGGCGGTGTCGGGTTGTGGGCCGGCGGCCGGCGGTGTCCGGGTGTGGGCCGGCTTCCTGCTGCCTGGACAATATACGGGAGACTGCCGACAGGGCTGTACCCGCTTCTCGCCCGTCCTGCCGATGGCAGCCTGCTAGAGGCCGCTTGGTGTAGCCGAGTCGGACTCAGCGTAAAGAACCTCGTTTCATTAAGACAAAGGAACAAATTTCACTAAGTTTGAATGCGGCCTTTTGCCGTGTCTTGTCAGTAGAGCCATACCCTTAGAACCTCTCAAGTAGAATTTATGACTTGCTTCTGAGGTTGCGCTGCAGCTTAGGGAAACACTAGTGATTCTACGCTGTGTTTTGGACAATGTATACTAAGCTGGCTGCCACCCTATTATGCTGAAAATAATTTCCTGGTGCTCAAGGTGCTTCTTCCTAGTTTTTAAAATTTCACCTCTTGTGTTGGTTTGGGGGCTTTTGTTGTGGCTGCCTTACAAACTGTTGCTCGGGGCTTTGGCTAGGAAGCTGATTTTGCCTTCTGAGAGCTGACACCATTAAGAAGCTTGTGGCTGTGTATAGTCTCTGTGCTCAAAGCGGGATTTGATCAGATAGCTTCAGCTTAAGGTTCTTCTATGAAGGTTGAAAGTACAAAAAGCCTTGGTGGTAACACCAACAATAGCATATCTGTCAGACTCACTCTATTGCAAACACTTGTGTTTTGTGTCTCAGAAAGGTACTGTTATGAACAAAGTATCTCATCTGAAGGGCTTCTGTCATAAAGCGCTAAGAAAACAGTATATTATGAGCATATAATTATGCTTCTTGTGCTTCTTGCTGAATATTAAAAAAAAAAAAGAGGAAACACTGAAAAGGAACCATTGAACAACTAAGAAACCATCCATAAGCTGAGTTTGGTGGAAATGGTTCATAGTCTTAATCAAGTGCAATACTTCAATAAAATAATGACAAGCTCTAGGAGAACCTAGTGTAAATACAAATTCCATGGGGATGTCTCAAGTTTGATTATGCATTATTACAAATAATCTTTACTTGACATATACAAAATTATTTTCACATTTGTCGCAATATAAGTGAATCCATTTAATGTAACAAATTCTGACATATTTAACAATGTTAACTTTGTAGAAGTTACATTTGAATGAGTGGTAGAGACATGCATACATTTTTCTGTTATCTGTGTTGCTATTGTTTGTTTTATTTTTAAAATTTATATTAAATGACTGCTTTGCAATTTTAAGGAGGTTTCCAATGAAACATCAAATGAGCCTGCCTTCAGGAATGCCTTTTGATTACCTACACTTGGATTAGAATCTGAAATCTAGCCCTGTAATTAGCAAGTCACAATTAAAAACTGAATGCATTAATTGAAAATCTTAATTAAATTTAACTTTGAAGAAATATACCCCTAATAATGATAATTAAAAATACATTGAAAGTGGTTTATAATTGTTTCTTTGTCTTTGATTTCTTTGTAATTTTTTTAACCCCTGAAGTTGAAGGTGGAATTACTTGGAATAGGATAAAATTATTGCAGTATTTTCTTCTCATTGTGACAATAGTATCACATTATAATAAAAAAATAGTTTAAATAATGGAAGATACATTTTAGATGTAACTGTTTATTTCCCTTATTGTGTAAGATTACTCTTAAGAATATGGATGAACGTGGTGATTTGATGGAACGACTCAATGAAATTCTACGCCAAACAGCATTCTTAGCTTGCTGCTCCCTGGTTCAGCATGTGGCAAGGCATCTCCTGCCTGAGCTGAAGAAAGTGACTTTGAGATCTATGAATTGCACAAACTGCATTAGTACTTGACTTTGAAATTAGTCCTTTCTCATTTATGAAATTCACATCTCTTTTTTACAGCTTAAATAACAGAGTGGAAAGAGTATATTAGAGGCTTAATAAAGTAAAAGAACAACTGTACCTCAGCAGTTTGAACAGCATGGTTCCAATATGCATGTCCCATATATGTATATGTGTGTGTGTGTATGTATATGTGCACACACACACATCAATGGCATCTTCTCTTATTTGCCAGATATTTCAAGCAGAATTGTAAATTTTCAAAAAGTCGTAGCAGAGCTTTCTTTAATACTAAGAAAGATCCCAAACTTTTGTGCCTGATGGAAGTTGCTGGCATCTTTCCAAACAGGTTCTCTAATGGTCTTGTTTCACCATGGCAACCAATATGGAGGTGCTGGCTCAGCAGGTAGTGGAGACTCAGCAGGTGGCTGAGGTGAGTGACAGATGATATCACAAGAGTTGGTATATGAGATTTTGAAATTAAAAACTTATTAGGGAGTTCCGCTGTTTGCAATTAAGCATAAATGGAACAGAAGATCTTTAAAGAAAAGTGCTGCTTTACACTTGGGGACAAGCATGAAACCAGTGCAACTGGGACACATTTTGTTCACCCTACTTTGTTCTGGTGGCCCCCATATGAAGAATATGAAGAATGCAAGTAGAAAGTTCAACATGAGCTATAGAGAAACTTGGCTGTATTATGAATTGTTTAAAAACTTAATACAGCAAAATTTCTTGTCATTTAATCCTTAGATTGACCATTTGGGACATGGAAAGCTTCTGCATCTAATTGGAATTGTAATCTAGATCCACCACAGTATTTGAAGTTACCTGTTTTACTTATGCACTATAGTGAATTTACAGCAAGCTGGTTACCTTAAATCAGTTTTTATATTTTCTGCCTACGCTTAAAGAAAAAAAGCACAAAACCTACTTAAAGGGATATTAAGTGATGGCTTGATGCATATCCATTGAAGCTTGGATGCTCAACAGCTAAAACGTTTAAATCAACTCATAAACACAAACTGCAAGTGTTCATGGCCATAGAAAATAATTTATCTCCCTCGCTATGCAAATTTCAGTCAAAAAATAAACTAGATCTTTTGTCTGATTAAAATTACTTTGTTTAGTATCCTTGAAGTTTACTGTGATTTTTCGTATGGTTACGTAATTAAGGGATTTAATAAATAATAAAGGGCAAGTGGGCTGAGAGACCTCTGTAGAAGAGGCCACTTTTCAGTCATTAGTTTGGAGTTTTCTTTCACCTATTGAGCTAAGATTACAACTGTATATTAAAAATATTTTTAGTTCAAAAAGTCATCCTATATAAGTAGAAAACATAAGTTAAATTCTATTTTTAGAAGTGGATTTGAGATTCCCTAGTTAGAAGTACATTTTTGAAAAAGAAATTTCATTCTTTTTAGCATGGAAAATGGCCTAGTCAGTGTCCTGGAATTAACATCTATGGAATAGTTTCACAAAACTTCCTAAGTTTCACAGTGAAAACCAACAAGAGATCTTTTACACTAGTTTTCTGTACCAGGTATAAATTTGGTAAGATGCATTTTTAAAAAACACTTCCAAATATATTTGGAAAGAGAAACTTGTAATGGAAATACCGACAAACTTTATTTTGGTAGAGGTTGGGTGCTGTAATAACATCTCAAGCACATAAAATATATGACATTTGTAATTCCTCGTGCAGGAAATGCACCGTGGTAACATAGTGTGATGGTTGTATCATGCCACTGGAGAGATTGCTCCATCTCAAGAGTGTATGAAGCTCTGTGATTTCTTCCTGGCCGGTGGGTAAATAGAGGGCTTCATCTCTTTATAGTATTCAGCCACTGCTTAAATTATATGCCTGTCCACTGTGTAACACCATGAAAATGTTATTCATGGAAAACCAGTTGTAAGCAGCATTATCTCGTTAGGAATTCATTACTACTATGACCATGTTAATACTGAATCATTTCTGTATGAATGGCTGGCTGCCTGCTATTTGTGTTTTTCTGTCAGTTTTCAATACAGGTAAATACATAACTAGTTTTCTTTAAATATGCTAGAATTCTATATTTGTACTCACCATATATTAGAGAAAATGTAGAATCAAACTTGGCACTGGCTTTAGAAAATGAGAGACTTTCGGAATATCATATTTTTAATTGATGAAAATTAAATGGAAGAAGCGGGTCATTGATGATGCATTGAATTTCAGGTTATGAACTGTGAGAGAAGTTGCAACCGGATGACCTAATGCAAATATTAGCAGCTTTACCTATATTGGTATCACTTTTTCAACATAACTGCCACATATGTAGTGCATGAGTTTATTGCGAACTGCAATGCCGAGCACCAAATCAGACTGTCATGCAAGTAGGATACATTGTTTCTCTTTCTTGAGCAATAGTTCATCAGCTTTTTCATGAAACTGAATGTTTCATAGAAGTTGCTGAGTGCGCTCCAGTGTTGCATGTATTTTTGTACTTATTCTATTTTTAGGACTTTTAAAAATTGTTCTTGTAATGGTTTCAAATGGTTTCACTGCTTTTGATTGTTTCTGCATTATATAGTGTCACTTGATTAAATTTTTTTCCAATTGTGCATTCCTGAACAGATTGGATGAGAGTTCCATTTTTAGTGTTTGAAGTTGCCATTACTTACAGTTCATGAAACTGAAGAACAGAGTGCAGCTAGAGGATTCAGAGGGAATTTCAGCAGTTTCTTCTCATCCTGAGCAGCTCTTGAAAAGCAGGAAAAATATTTATGCCTTAATGCAAAAATAAGTAATGCTGCTTTTCTCAAGCATTTATTTAGTACTGTCACTGTGCAATATGCAAGTGGCCTAGGTACAGTCCCAGTACCAGCTTAGATCTAACTTAAATACTGTTTAAGAAAAATGTTTGTTTTTAAAGTGGAGGTGCATTCCATGTGTAGTACCTGTGATTTTAATGCATACTTTTTAAAATTTTTAAACAGAGCTGTTGTGGGTGGGGTGGGGGAGGAAGGGGAGGGAATGTGTGGTGGTGGTAGAAATAAGGGCTATTTCATCTTTCCAACAGCAGCTCTGGTGTAAACAGGAATCATTTTTAGTAGTTGCTAAAACTGTCCTTGGCCAGCTCCCTGGCAGCCACAAACTATTCCCGGTGCATCCTTTTTCCTGTCAGAGGCTACAGGGAGAGAGTCACATGAGGTGACTGTTGAGCCCTGTGCTTCCTTGGTCTTGTTTATGGCAGCTGCATTGCTGGAGAATTTTCAGTTCCCTCAGTGTCCTGATAGGAAACCATCAAAGTCTGGAGCCTTTTGGAAAGCATGTTTTCCCATGGAGCTCAAAAAATACTGGATATCCTTATCACATAAAATATTTTTTTGACCTTCTTCAGACATCTCTGACATGTTACATCATAAATAGTTCTGCAGTTCAGATTTTGGTCCAGATGAAGCCAGTGTGCTGGAAAAGGAGAGTGGAAACACTGTTGTTCTGATGGAACAAGTTTTTACTTTGTTTTAAGAATTAATGAAGTGTGACGTAAGACCCTTTATATGTAATATTTTATTTCTATCATTGGCCACTTGCTCATTTCTGATGATTCTTCAAAGTAGACTTTTGATGCAAAGTCTTCTCAAACAATTTTTGGTTCAAATACAGCTTTTCTCAAGTTCCTGTTAACGGTAAAAGACCTAGGCATACCATGAGCCTGAGAAGTATCTCACAGAACGTGCAAATGTGAGTAAGGAGATCATATCTGGTTTAGGCAGTTTGCAGCATTTGAACTGAAGACTGTTGCCAGATGCGGCATAGCTGCTGGTGTAATAGAAGTGTGGGGTGTTACATAAGAGGTGGTCTGAGATTTTCTTTAGCACGCAGATGTGCTGTTTCTTCTGTGATTGTTGCCTTTTTATGTGCTACAAAAACAAGATTTTGCACTGGCATCTTATTAGGGCAGTTAAACTAGAATTTTGCTAGTGGTGAATTTGACTTTTATCTGCCATCCTACAAAGGACCTCTTGGGAGTGGTCAGGAGAGCTAATTCCAAGGAGAATAACTGAAACCTTTTTTAGCTGTGTCTTTAGCCTGTGAAAGAAATATACTTGGATATACATTTTTTTTGCAAAAGCCTATTATTAATTTAGTAGCAAAAATACTAATTAGGAAAAATATCTATGGACGAATAAGTCTTTCTGATTTGATTTCAGTTGCAGGTGTAAAACTTGGTACCATATTTTTCATTTAAATTCTTCATTTGTTTTATGCGTGCAGTTAAAAATTTTTGGTCTGTGATTGCTTAATTATGCTTTAATTAATATAGGAAAGAGAATATAAATTATTGCCTCTGAAATTGATTTACACATTATATATTCAAGCAATACAATTACTTTGGCTTTTACTGGAGTGAATATAGAAAATGTTTTTCCACTTAAGTTAGAAAATGGTAGAGGCTTTAAAAATTTCTCTCTATGTGGCCAATGGATTATGCCTTCAATTTATTTCTGAAATACTACTTTTATAATCATATATATTATATAGTGTGGTAGAGGGAAATAAGCTACAGAAAGTATTGAAAATTTGGTTAGGACAAATATTTATTATATAGGTATATATATGCTCATACAAACACACATAGATGCATGTGTACATGATGGGCAAATAAGTAAGTTACTGTACAAACATGACTATATGTCTATGAAGAAACCTTATTCATTTCTTATGACATAAAATAATGAAGTGCTTGGAGAAACTTAGCTTCAAATTACTGATTTTATATATACATATTTATTTTATATATATACACCCATCTACTGGAATTTTAATATTTCATCTAAAATTTAGAAACGGAAAAAGTAGAAAAAATAAGGTATATATGCAATTATATATATTTATGTTTTAAAAGGGGAAAATTATAATAATTTAAACAGAAGAAACCAAGTTGAATTTTGATAGTCTTCAAAATGCACCTAATTGCCAAATACTTGTTTTTAGCTTAATGATGAAAAAAGTAGATGCATATGTATTTAAGTATATTTTTGTATTTCTTGAGCTTTGTGCAGATTTTCTATGTCACTTTAGGTAAATCATTATTAGTTTCGATAAACTTCAACATAGGAAATTATTGCTAGTGGTACTTACTTGTTTGAGAGCCCAAGCAATTACATTCTAGATACAAGTAATACTTTCTTCTACGCTAGATCACAGTTAGTTGACCTAACATTTATGGTGTAGCCCTGCTGTAAATACACTCCCTTAGGTAATTAAGTATAGAGTTTTTAGAGAGATGTACAATATACGATTATATTTTCTGTCAAGTGCTTAATTTTAATAGTGACCATATTTCTTTGCTATGGAGTCCTTGAAATCAGAAGAAAATACCAATGCTAACAAATAAGTTATTGATTTGCTGCAGAAGCTTTTGTAGTGGAAATCTACTGGATTTTGTTGTATATTGTTAATAAGTTTATTGTTGTAAAACCTGTCAAGTACATGGTCACACTCTCAAAATATCATGTACCATAACTAACAAATTTAACTTTTGAAAATCATAAAAATATTTCCTGTTTTCACCCATTTGTCAGCTTTCACTTGAGCCTCATAAAAATGTTTTGTTGTGGAATTAATTTTTAAAGCTAAAGATGCTTTATAGGAAATTGAATGTATTTTCCTTTCAATTTTGCCAATTTAAAATTAATTTTCTAGAGTGAGATCACATGGCATGCACAGGACCAGGGAATCAGGCCTAACTAGCATGGGTTTAGGAAAGGCAGGTCCTGCCTGACCAGCCTGATCTTGTTTTATGGTTAGGTGGCCCACCTTGTGGATGAAGTAAAGGTTGTGGATGTGCCTACCTTTATTTCAGCAAAGCCTTTGACGCTGTCTCCTGTCTGATTCCAGGACATCCCTCTGGCTGCACTGGATGTCTCGAGACCCTGGCAAGAAGTCAAAAACACCTGTGGTTTCAATTTTAGCCCGTAGCAGAGGCTGCCAACGCTGTGTGAGGAATTACAAACCACAAGGGTTTGAGTAGTGTAATGGAGGAATTAACGCAGGGTGGAAAAGTAGAATTTTGGGGTTTTTAGAATGTAATTCAGGGGTACAAGATGGAGGAATCTGGGCATGTCCTAGCCTTTTTGTCCTTCTTCTTGTCCTCCATGTCTTGCTGTGATGGTGACACTTTTCTATTGGTTTAGGATAGGGACATGCTGTCCAACATAGATGTTAGATATTGGTGCATTGTTATAAACAGACTGTATGTAACTTTTGATATAAAAAAGTGCCAAGAGGGCACGCCAGACTGCCATGGCTTCTGTACTAGGCGGACCTTGGCAGGTCAGAGAGAAAATATTATAGATAAGGAGAAATAAACATCTTTGAAAACTCGACTTCACGTATTTCAGACCTCTTCTTTGGCTGCTGGGCTAGGGGAACAAGGACTTTCACATTGTTGGGGTCTCACCAGCTGACCCTGAGAGTCTCCCAGCACTGTCTCAGTGAGGCTGCGGCCCATGACTTGGACAGGTGCATCTTTGTGGGCTTAAGAACTGGCTGGGTGACTGGGGCCAGAGAGTGGTAGGGAGTGGTGCCACATCCACTATTCAGTCACTAGTGCGGTTCCTCAGGGCTCAGTTTTGGATGATCTGGATGAGGGGATTGAGGCCAAGGCCAACAATGTCAGGTTCAACAAGGCCATGAGTCCTGCTGTTGGGTCACCACAATCCCACACAGTACCCCAGGCTTTGGGCAGGGTGGCTGGAAAGCCACTCAACAGGAAAGGACCTGCAGATGCTGGTCGACAGTGCCTGAATGTGAGCTGGGTGTGCCAGAAGAAGGCCAGTGACATCCTGGCTTGGATCAAGAACAGCATGGCCAGCAGGAACAGGGTAGTGACTGTCGCTCAGTACTGGCCACTGGTTATGCCACACCTCAAATCTTGGGGTCAGTTCTGGGCCCTGCAGTACAAGAAGGACATTGAGGGGCTGAACTGTGCCTAGGAAAGAGCAAAAGAGCTGGAGAGTCAGTCATTGAGGAGTGGCTGAAGGACCTGGGTCTGTTAGACCTGGAGAAAAGAAGGCTTAGGTGGGACCTTTTCAATCTCTACGACTCCCTGACTGGAGGGGTGGAGTCAGGTGGGGGACAAAAGGAAATGGCATCAAATTGTGCCACAAGAGATTCAGGTTAAACATACTTTGCAAACCCAGAAAACTATGTGCTGTTCAGTTCCAAAATGTTTAAAGAATTTCCATGCAGTTACCTTATGTCTGTCTGTCTGTCATTTTCCTTGAACAATATAGAAGAATAGACTATTCTTTTTTTCCAAGCTGCCTGCAGTACATTGCAGTGTAAGGTTTCAAGATGCATCAATGAAAGGCTAAGGATTCTACAACTGAACAACTGTAAAACAGTTTTAAAAGACCTTCTAGCTCTAATTTAGATCTTTTAAAGAGTGCATAGCTTTGTTAATAATTTGGCAAGGAAGACAAGAAGATCATCAATTAAATGTGTCCTCTAAGAGTCTGGATCTTTGGGAGTCTTTTTCCTCTCCTAGGGGTCTTGTTTTCTGCAGCTGAAAACTTATTAGAAGACGCCTCTTATTTCTACATCTCTCCTGTCTGTTGTCCTCATTTAACGTGCAACTTTTGTGACCTGTGTATTAAAGAAAATTGGAGATTCTATGTTTAAATTAGATTACACTTCTACAATATGTGGAACTACTTGGGGTACAGGCAATAGGGGAGCAAATATGAAAGTAAATAAAGTACTAAATAAAGGAGTAAATAAGACTTAATGGTTTCATTAAGTCTTCTGTATTTTAATGCCTCTGCTTCCCCAAAGAGACTGTAGTCCATGTTCCTTGCTATTCAAACTGTTTTTCCTTATGCCATAAATTAACTTTTCTGTATATGAAACAAAGATTTTTCAAAGCAAGCTAAAATTGAAAGTTCTCTGTTGTCCAGCTGTGAAAATCTTGATATAATTCCAAGATTGTTTAGAAGAGGATTTGATCAAAACAAGCTGTGACCATCCTGGTTTTGGACATGTTACTCCAGATAACAGGTTCATAGAATGGTTTGGGTTGGATGAGACCTTCTAGATTGTCTAGTCCAACTCCCTGCCACAGGCAGGGACACCTTCCTCTATCCCAGGGTGCCCCAAGCCCTATCCACTGCAGCCTTGGACACTTCCAGGGATCCAGGGGCAGCCACAGCTTCTCTGAGCACCTGTGCCAGGGCCTCACTGCCCTCCCAGGGAGGAAATTCTTCCCAATATCCAATCTAAGGGTTATCATCCATGTTTAATTCAACATTTAACATGTTTGCTCTGAAAACAGCTTTGCAAGGGGTGTTTTTCAGGCTAAGTATTCAGAACTAAATTTGTATTATAGTTTGGTAGTCTAGAAAGATATGGAATAGGACAAGAAACAATAGTATTCAGAAGTAGTGTGAAAGTTAATCTGTCATTCAAAAGTACTTTAAAATTATTAAAAGGGGAACTACTTAACATTTTACTTATAGAAGAAAAAAATGAGACAAGTGTATAATAAAAAGTTTAAAAAAGGCATTTCTGCATTTCAGTAAGCTAAAGGATCATACAGTACTTACCCAGTGATTCATTTGAGCAGAATGGTCATGGTAGTGGTGGTTTGGTTTTGTCAGGTTCACTTAATTTCCAGAAAAAGAAAATACTCTGATAATTCATTGAAAGCCAATCCAAGTTGGTTAAATGACTGTAACCTTTCCAGTAAATTTAGATTCTAAACTATAGGGCTATCTGATCCTTTATAAATATAGGTATTTTTAAAAGTGCTCAGTACCTTAACACTGAATTAAAATTCTGTATGTTATTTACAGGTGTAGACTGTTCAGACTTCGCTATCTGAATCTCCAGTGATGACCAGCCCTTCTCAGCGTATCCAGATAATTTCCACAGACTCCTCTGTAGCTTCACCACAACGCATTCAGGTAAAAATCCATTAATTAACCAACTGTCATCATATATTTTCTTTTTTTCTTCTACTTGTACTTACCTTTATACAAAACCATGCTAAAGACTATGGAATACTTCCTTTAATTCTTGTGAGATCAGGTAATTTTTAGTGAAAACTAAAATTCTTTTTCCCTCAGTATTGGTGCTGACTTGATGGCTGTATATAATAGTTAGCCAGTGAGGAGTATTAACACAGGTTAAACCTTGCCTACAAAAGCAAATCACCTGAGCTCTGGCCACCACAAAGGGTGAGATATTGTCAACAGAAATCTGAGATCGTCTCCAAGTGCATTCTTCTTCCCACTTATTTAGGAGCCAGTAGGAGATAAATCTATTTAGCACAAAGCTGGCCTTCGGGAATGGTGCACAGTGGGACTTGGTTACTGGTAGACAATAAAAAGATGTCATTAATGTATCAGAATGTATTCAATGGCAAATTATATAGGACTTAATAAATTTTAATGAAATACTAGTGTATATTGATACGATTACTCTACCAGGCAAAATAGAGATCATGCTACCAGACAACTGTATTGGAAATAGAAACCTTCCATCATAAGAGAATCTTGAGAATCAGCATGGGAAACAATAAGGCTGCCTGATTCCATCTTTTATGATAACTTTAGGGAGTAACATCTTACATAAAATATGTAGGTTAAAAATGCATTGGTAAATGTTAATTGAGGGACATCTCCATAGTGCCATTTATAAAGAAAAATTTGAGAGAGTTTCTTTGTAATTTTTCACTGATATAATTCTGAGATGGAATGAAAGGTTTTAAAACATAAAATCTACTGTGGTCACTAATTTCTTCAATGTTTTACAGATTGTGACAGATCAGCAAACAGGTCAGAAAATTCAAATAGTGACAGCAGTGGATTCAGCTGTGTCTCCAAAGCAACAATTCATTTTAGCTAGTCCAGATGGAGCTGGTGCAGGAAAGGTGATCTTGGCAGCACCTGAGACATCTAATGCCAAGCAGCTTATCTTTACCACCACAGACAACATTGTACCAGGCAGAATTCAGGTAAATACAGTAATATTTAGATAAACCATGGAGCTTTGTTGTGGTGTTTTTGTTGTTGTTGTTGTTGCTAAATTAAGTCTAAATTGCTTAAGACCTCATTACATGGATCAGACATACTAATTTTAGACTTCATTTTTCAATCATAAATCCTTCAGTCTTCACCTACCTTATGTATTCCATTGCACTTATCATCCCTTCTTGTGTGTTCTTGTTCAGGTTCCAAAGACATAAGGGAATTTTTAAGATATTGCTTGTGAGAAGTGCCAGGATTTCTCAGTCTAAGATTCACTGATATACAGAGATACAACTCACCTGTGCAAATCTACATGAGTTCGTACTTTATATTTGGTATCAAGACATTGCAATAAAGCTCTGTTATGTTATTTATGTGTGTCTTGAGCATAATCTACATGAACAGAAGCTTTGCAAAGCCAATGATGTAACAATAATGTGTCTCATGAAATTTCAGATTTCTTCCTAGCAGTCTTAAAAAAAATAATAAACCAAATGAGAAAGTGCCTGGTGTCTCTTGTTACTGTTACAATAGAGAATATTTTACAGGAAGAAGGGTAACTTTTACATAGGTATTTTAAAAATTTTATTAAAGGTCTTTTAAAAATTCATTTTTCCATGCTAAATGGGATATCTGACATTACAGAGGGGTTGGGTTTTTAAATTTTTTTTTTTTGTTAAATAGAATGTTCAGAACAGAAGTTTTGGAATCCAAGGCCTTTGAAAGCTAAACTGTTTCTATGGTAGAGCTGAGCTCAAGGCTATCCCCTCTGAACCATACATCCCTAATAGCTAGAGAAGACATAGATGGGAAGATCATCTAAAAGCCAACTGTTTTAGGCTAAAATATAGCAGCTGCTTGAGAGTATTTGCAAGAAGGGAAAAATACTGTTGATTGCACAAGTGAGGAAACATTTGTAATAAACAAAGATAGCAGTTTTATTTGTAATTTGTTTTGATATGACTATTTCAAAAGTCTCACTATTGTCAGTAAGAACTCTCATTAAATTGCATTTTACACTACTTAATTTCATTCCACATTCCATACATATTCATAAATTCAGTCCTCTCTTCTTTTCAAGCTGATACACCAGTCTTGTTCTATAGGCAAGACTCCTTAACTTTATATCTAGCTAATTACATTTTTTTATTCTGGAATTTTGCTTTAGATAGTGACAGACTCTGCTTCAGTGGAACGTCTGCTAGGAAAAACTGATGTTCAGCGGCCCCAGGTAGTAGAATATTGTGTAGTCTGTGGTGATAAAGCATCAGGTAAGGAAGCATACAAAGTGGTATTGAAGAAACTTGCTTGAAAAGATGACTGGGATGAAGAGATTAGTTTTCATGTGCTTTAACTGATTTTAGTTATGCTTATGGCAAAGCAATTGTGTTTTTAAATGGAAAAATATACTCTGTAGCTATACACAAAAAATAGCTAAACTCTGTTTGGAATAATATTAGGTTTTCTCCTTGAGCATATGATAAATTGGCTTAAATATAAAATAATTATTCAATTACTCCTGGTAATTGAAAAAGACTGCTTGAAGAATGTATTTAAGTTCCCCACTGTGATGCACAACCATAAAATAAACATGTCACCTAAAAATGTATAACTACTCCAAGAAAATGCTTCTTAGTGCTCTTTAACAAACTTAACACTTCCTGGTAGATTTTGTTCTTCTACTATCACAAAACAAGGCAAGCAGAGACTATGTGACTCCTCACTGCTTCAGATCCATGCAGTAACAAGGAGTCTTAAGATAAAATTTTTATATTAGTCAATTTTTATATTAGTTCTGTGCTATCATCCTAGGGAGGAGGCACCCTTCTGTCTTTTTTTCTTTCTTTTACTTCTTCAAGTGTTTATGAAATTAAAACAATACCAGAATTAATATGGACAGAAAATTTAAATTAAGATTGCATTTTAAATTTTGGTGTAAAATTACTTGTTTTCTGAAATTGCTTGAGCTCTTAGCTGATATATTCTCTAAATGTATCCTATAGTCTGTAACAGCAGATAGAATTGTATCTGTACTTACACAGAGTGGGAACCACACCTTCATCAACCACACGTTCAGAAATAGCTTGAGCCTTCCTCTTTTCTCTCCACTCTCTCACCAAAACTCCTGACAATAGGTAAATTAGAAATATCTTGTGAGACTATAGTAATGCTTTCATGGTCCAAAATACTGGCACAAATCCAAAACAAATTTAAAGGATGACTTATAGCATTCTACTTGTTTACTATGAATATTTTTATGCTAAAATATAAGTAATTTCCAACTGATTATATATGTTTCCTAGGTCGTCACTATGGTGCTGTCAGTTGTGAGGGATGCAAAGGTTTCTTTAAAAGGAGTGTAAGGAAGAATTTGACCTACAGTTGCCGTAGCAACCAGGACTGTATCATCAATAAACACCATCGGAATCGATGCCAGTTTTGTAGGCTTAAGAAATGTCTAGAGATGGGCATGAAAATGGAATGTGAGTGTTAAGTACTCCATGTGACATTGTGCCTACCAAATAACAATTATGTGGACTACCACTTGTTAATGTGTTCTCTCTGTTTTGGTATATGTTGCTTGAAGGAAACAGAACGTTTTGGCAGCATCTAGTGCCCCTTTCTTTCATCACCATTTTATTTCTGAGGTGCAGTAGTGGTTTTTTTTTTGAGACCACGTCTCCAAGTACTGTTGTCTTTGAGGAGCCCGTTACAGCCTCACTTACAATGCGTGTTCCAAACACAGTGTATGTTTATAAGAGAAAATATTTTGACGTGGATTGACATGAATCTGAGTCTAATATTCTGTTTTGAGAATCTGCTTTCCTTCTAGTTTATTTTTATGGCTTTTTCAGCCAGTGATAGAAAATAGTTAGTATTTTTTCCCCTCTTTTTAAATTTTTATGTTAATTTGGTAATTTATGAGCAGTGTTTTATGTGGCATTGTATAAACTGCCATATGTTTTAAAATATGCTTTCATGTTTGTATGTCGTACTTCATATATTTCCAGTGCTAGCAGTGAAACACTTGTTTCAATATATTTTTGTTTTCAGTTTATATCACCTGTTTTTCAATTTAGCACTATGTGAAACAATTTCAAGGTTATTTTATGATCTGATTTAAGCCGGGTAAATTCCAGCCACTGAGCTCAAGGGAGGCAGAATATTAAGCTGTAAATAGGAACATAATTGTTGTATTTTACCTCTGAAACTCTAGACCTGTTGTGATGATTCTGCTGCTTTGCAGTTTCAGAAAGTAAACCTTTCTTAGTCCAATATGATTAGGGTATATGTTTATTGACTTCACTGGCTTTGGGTTAAGCCTCTGATTAATTTACATGTATTCACCAAGCCAATAAGTTTGATATGCCAACTTTGAAGCCCCTAAATTTTGCTAATAGTAACAACAATACCAAAAATAAAATCAGGAACTAAGTAATTCTTGCTGGTTATGAGGATAACTTTCTGTAATATGTTTAATAATAACATTTTAATATTATAAAGATGCACTTTTCACTTTCTCTAAAAGTTACAAAATCATTGCTTCTTGCTATTTTTTATTTAAAAATTTGCTACACTTGTTCAGCACTTCAGTGACTGAACTTAGTTTCAATTTTCAAATATAAATGTAGATTATGAAAGGGTTTTGGAACATTCTTCCCTAACTGGGAGGAATTAATGGCTGTGAGTGAAGTCTATGTCATGCATATCCTCTCAAGGATATGCATATCCTCTCAAGTATCCTCTCAAGGAATTAACCTGCATCTCTTGGGTAGTTTGCCTCTCTGGACTTTTTCAGGGTTCCTTCTGGGTTTGCATTGTTCTGTGTCATCCAGAATAGGAATGTGCCTAACATTTAGATATAGCTGTGTCTGTAAAAAAAAAAAAAAAATGCAAACAAATTGAAAACACAATCTGTAGAATCTTCCATCCTATCAAATGCCAAAAAAAGATCAGCAAAACTTGAAGCAAAAGATCAATCTTTGACTTTCTTAGTTAAAAGTATATATAAAAATACACATACTCACAGATATAGTAACATAGGAGCCTGCATTTCTTCACTCTTGGTATTAAATTTCCAGTTTTGAACTGAGCTGGTACACTATTAGAAGTGCAGGAATTTAATTTACTTTTTGTATTTTTTGTTTTAATTATTTCCTTTCAAATCTGTATGTTTCTATCTTTATGTAGCGGTTCAAAGTGAAAGAAAGCCTTTTGATGTGCAACGTGAAAAACCAACCAACTGTGCAGCTTCTACTGAAAAAATCTATATAAGAAAAGATCTTCGAAGCCCTCTAATAGCAACTCCAACATTTGTGGCAGATAAAGATGGGACACGGTGAGTACTTCAGTTCCACGCATCTTTCACATTATTTGTGCATATTACTTTGCAGTCACACCTTATATTCCTCATCCCCTCTGCTCTCAGAGGGAACAGAAAAGAACTCTAATGTACACATCATCTGTTTCCATTACCAAGGCCAATGCAGGTTCTGGTTCTCACTAAAGCTTTTGTGTCTGCATACAGGTATGTGGTTTTCAGTTCAGAGCTGGCTCTTGTCCAGCCAGAGAGCTGGTCAGAGCAATGCAGAGCAAGTGAATGATACTCAAGCAGAAAGCATGTAGGCTAATGCTGTGATACATTTGTGTTATCACTTCTCTGAAATTAGATCTGCAAATGGCAGACTGAGGCTTCCTTCTCCTAAAGATACTAGTTAGGGAGATTCAGTGACTGCTGATTCAAATCCCAAGAGACTGGTTTCAACAACAGCAAAAAGCAGCTTCCTTTTAGTATATGGAAGATACTCCAAGGTGGTTCCGGCACTCTGAGATGTCTCCTTAGGCAATGGGTGGGAAAATGCACATCATTACAAATAAAGGCAAGATTTTTTTTTTTTTCTGAATAGAATTTAAAAAGTCTAGGTTAAATATGACATTTTTATAACTGTAATTTATGAATGGTTGAGAACTATTATTATTCAGTTTTCATATGGGGGAAGTGTATGTGTTTAATTTTTCATATGCATATTCCTTGTTGAACAAATGACACTGCAGTTAGGAAGTTTGGACTGCAGATTTCTTAGAGAATTGTTTTTCAGTGTTCTTGTTTGAAAGAAGTACTTACAGAGACATTTGCCTCTTAAAAATTTTCTTGAGCTACAGATCCATTACAAACCTATAAACACTACTATAGTTATCAAGAGCCACTCTGTTATTTATGTAGGATTCAGATTTGCATAATGCATGATAATTTGCTGCCTGTGCTTGTTGATAATGATAGCTGTAAGTGTCAGACCCCTTGTACTGTAATGTCCTGCAGTCTTTCACCTGTGTTTTGTGCATTGGTATTGTTTATGGACACTTGGAGCATCACATAAGTAGCAAGTAAACTTCTTGCTGACTGCAAAGACTTTGCACTGTCTCCCTAAATTAGATATAGGAGAGGGGAAGGATATTTGTTCACAAAGCAGCAAAAGTAAAGGCAGCAGAGATTTTATGCAGGCTTTGACTACAGGACTGTTTCTGACTATGTTTTGGAATGTAAAAAATATTTTTATGACTTTTATTGAGTGCTGGCCAATGTCTTGCTTGGAACACAGAGTCATGCCTTCCTTCGAAGTCTCATATAAATTTAGAGCTACTAGGTGACTTCAAAGAGCCTGAGATGACAACAGCTTTCCTTAAAGCAGACTAACCCTGAACAAAAAGCAAATGAGAAGATATGCATTTGGGAAGTTGCAATTGTTTTGCACTGGAAATTATAAGATCTTTCTGTCTTTCCAGCTACTTTTTGGGAACTGTTTCAGAAAGACTTAAGTCCTGTTAAATAAATTGTAAGCTTCACTAAATTTTTAATTACAAAACTGGTAATTCTTTTTATGCTCTCATAAGTTGTTTCACATTCTTCTTATTAATGGAAAATACTATTGACCATCAGATGCCTTACACTTTTGAACAGGTCAGCTGGTCTTCTTGATCCGGGAATGCTTGTGAATATTCAGCAGCCTTTGATCAGGGATGATGGTACAGTCCTCCTAGCTGCTGATTCCAAGGTATTACTGGCTCACTTCCATTCTGAGATATCTATTAATTTGGTCAGGTTACTTTATCTATTGCACCTAGTCTCAAATAGTTTTTGCTCTTAAAAAGATAAGGTTGTAATAAGTGTAAAGAACCATATGAATGAATGCAGTAAATTTATCAATAGGATTGCCGTTTCTTTTGGCAAGCATATTTCTGCAAAGGGTCAGCCACAGGTAGTTCTCAATATGATGTCTCACTGGGGACTAGGATTGATAATTAAAATAGAATTTAAAGATAATTGATAGCCATTATTCTTCCTGGGATTCAGGAAGAAGGAAAAGGTGCATGGGGAAGAAGAACAAAAAGATTGAAAATGGGGGGAAAATTATATATGAGATATTAACTATAATTTTGATTTACTAATATAGTGTTTTCTTTTTAGGCTGAAACAAGCCAGGGTGCCTTAGGAACACTAGCAAATGTTGTAACATCTCTTGCTAATCTCAGTGAGTCACTAAATAATGGAGATACTTCTGAAGTTCAACAAGAAGAGCAATCTGCAAGTGAGATTACAAGGTATGCATTTCTATTTACTTCTTATTTAGTAATTTCTGTTCTATGTGGTGTATCCTTGCACTCATTCATTATAAGGAATTTGGCATGGTTACACCAGACACAGTATAGATTGCCAGATTGCCCCTACTTTGAAACTGTTTGAAACAGTTTGTTAGAAATTAGTTTTGGCTCTTGCCCTCTTGTGAAGAACTGTGTCCAGTGTGACAAATATAGTGTTCTAAAGCTAGACTGCATTTGGTTATCAGAAAAATAATAAATTACTAGTTTGTGACCTTGAAAGACTCTGAGAATAGCAACATTTTAGTGCCATTTTATTTCACAGGTGTGTTTTATGTAAGCTTCTCCTTTGCAATGCTTGTGCCCTGAGCCCTGCTCTTTGGCAGTCTCCATTACTGCAGATTTATTTTTGAGCTTGTGCTGCCATAAAATCTCCTGGCAATGTAGATTTAGAAAGAGTTTGAAGTCTTTCCTTTCTTAATGAAAAATATATGAAAAAGGAGCATGGAATATTAAAATTCCCAGCACAGCTTGAGATTTGCAAGGCTGGGATATTTTTGTTGGATGTTTTTGGTTGTGTTTTTTGTGGGGGGAGGCAGGTTGGTTGAATTTAGCAGTATAAGTTAATAAGATAAAATACTTGGACTCAGAATTGTCCACTGTTTCTCAAAAAGAAGATTTTTAGGAGGAACTTAACTGTTGGAATCCTGGATGCTGAGAATTTGAAACTTTCTGTGCTTAAAGGCACAGAGAACACTGCATTTTACCTGAGGTCATGGAACAGGCTTTTAAAAGTAATAGCACTGGGATTATGGATGTGTAGTTGGTTAGAAGTCTGTAATATCAGAGGGTGGAAAACTTAAGAGTTTGGGGTTTTAGAACATAGAAATAAATATGAAGCAAGATGGAGGTTTTAGGGTGGAGACAGGTTGTTCTTTACCTCCTTCTTCCTTCCCCTTCATGGGTTTGGGTGATGTTTTGTGATTGGACACAAAGGTTCGCATTGTGGGCTTCGAGGGATCAGTTATTGAGTTAAAAGGGAAAATAATCTAGGTGTCCTTTCTTAATTGGATAGTTTAGTTTTAAAAGACCATGTAACAAAAGTTAGTTGGCTATTTTGTGCCTTGCTAATGAAAAAGCTACTGAACTCATGGTTGTGAGACTGTAACATAGATAAGAAATAATAAACACCTGAGTCCAAACATTAAATACTTTCTCAAGTGCCTTCAATCCCGACCTCGAGGAACTGATACTTAACTGTTGTGATTTAGGAATGGTATTCTCCAGTTTAATGTTCACACTTAAACTTGCTCCCCGCTCCATCTCCAGTCAGAGGCACAAAACGCAGAGATCACAGGTTGAAATAGGAACAATTTACTGGAAACAGCAATGAGACTAGGAAACAAACAGTGACAGCAAAATGAAACAGTAATAGCAACAACATTAATAACAAAAGGTATAACAAAAATTATTTACACAGAAAAGCCTCTGACAATAAACAAATACCAGACCAGTCCGCCCACTACACCAACTGGAAAACACCTCTCTGGGAGGGGTGAGAGAGAGCATGAGAGAGAAAAGGACATAAATTAATGTCCATCTGGGCTGGCTGGGTTAAAAGGAAGTATAAGGGATAGTTCCACACATGAGAAAAACAAGATACTGTACTCAGGGAAGGAAAATGCTCCTTTATTTCTATTAATTAAGGCTCTTAAGTCTTTCATTTGAAATCTTCAAGTGAAGTCAATTAATATTTTAAAATACTTGATGCTGAAGTGTCAGCTTATGTCTTACTCCTTCTTTAAAGCAGAAGAAAAATTTATAAAAATACCTCTCCCAAAAAAACAACTTGACAAAACAAATGGCAAAGAAGCACTATACCATAATACTGTCCACTGGTATGAAATTGGAACACAAAATTCTTCTTTACATTTAAGCTCTGTTAATCCAAAGAGAATTTACAGTGATCTATTTGGGTAATGATCCAGCAACAGCTTGAGTATAACGAAGACCAGGGACCAGTCACTCTTGTGTTACTGTCATAAGTATTTTAAGGCTCTATGTATACTGGGAGATAAGGAGTGCTTGCCTGTATTTCATTTTAAGGGATAGGAAGTTCAGGCCTATTGTCTAGAAGAAAACCACACTGTTCTCCACTGTTCCAAAAAGCTGAAGATCAAGGATGGGGACAAGGACAGGGACTTTGTTCTTCAGAATACATCTGGTCTGTAATCCTCACTGAATCTGTGAGAAGGGGGAATAGTGAATACTACGTGCAAGAGCACTGTTGAGGTTATGCCCTGTGGACAACTACGCCTCACACAGCTGCTCCCTCAGTCTAGTGGGACTGGCGGTAGACTCAGAAGAGCAAAAGTGAGAAAACTTGTGGGTTGAGATAAAGACAGTTTATTAGGTGATGCAAAAGCCAGACACACAAGCAAAGTAAAGGAATTAATTCACTACCTTCCATGGGCAGATAGGTGTTCAGCCACCTCCAGGACAGCAGGGCTCCAGCATGTGTAACAATTACTTCCAAAGACAAATGCTATCACTTCAAAGATCCCCCCACTTCCTCTTTCTTCTCCCTTCTTTATATCACAAAATATGGAAAAAGCCTTGTATCAGTTGGGGTCAGCTGTCCTGGATGTGTCACCTCCAAACTTCTTATGAACTCCCAGCTTCTTCACTGAAGGGAGGACAAGAAGCAGAAAAGGTTTTTATACTGTGCAAGCACTGCTGTGCATAACAAAAACATCTCTATATTATCAACATTGTTTTCAGTACAAATCCAAACTATATCCCCATACTACCTACAGTGAAGAAGATTAACTCCATCCCAGCCACAACCAGCATAGCACAAGACCCCTTTACTAGTACAAATACTAGGCTAAAACTATCCAAGCAGGATTTACAGTATGAAATCCTTCCCTTATAGGGGAGGTATTTTACCAGCAATATGTGGGCACATCTATTTGTTTTATTAATGCCCAAAGAGTACAGAGGGACCAAATTGCAATGAAAAGTCTCACCTTGTGTCATCCTAAAGGTTTCTTGTGTATGTTGACTCCAAGTGGAAATACTTTATAGCATTTAATTTGAGCACTATGAATTTTTTAAGATCTAAGGAAGCACTCTTTCATTGTTTACTTTTTTTTTTTAGGGCATTTGATACTTTGGCTAAAGCACTTAATACCACAGATGGTACAACAGCTCATAACTTGGCAGATGGGATGGATCCTACAGGAGGAGGGAATATTCATGTAATCAGTAGAGATCAGTCAACACCAATTATTGAAGTGGAAGGACCTCTACTTACAGATACACATGTCACATTTAAAGTATGTGCTTCTTTAAATGTCCTACTAAACAAGCAAATGCTTAAGATGTATGAGCTCTTATATAATTTCCTGTCTTGTATTGTCAATTTGCATTCCTTGCCAGTAGTAATGAGTTATTTAGTACAATTTTTTTTTGACAACTTCTTGTCACACTATTGATTGTGATGGACTATGAGAGTAGTTTGAATGTTTTTGCCGGTTATTTCACTGATGATAAAAACTGGTTTATGTCTGAACTATATGTGTTGTACTGTACTTTTATTTTTTGCAGCTGACAATGCCCAGTCCAATGCCAGAGTACCTTAATGTACACTACATTTGTGAGTCAGCATCACGACTACTTTTCCTCTCTATGCACTGGGCTAGGTCCATACCTGCGTTTCAAGCTCTCGGGTAAATGGACATACTCCATTTGAATGGTTTGCTTCTGAATAAATCTAAGCAGTGATTTGAATGCTTCCCAGATATTTTTAACTTTTTAGTTACAATATTGTTTAATTTTTAATTAATATTTTAAAATATGTGAAGACTGTGCAATATTCCCTGTTTTGAAGAATAAAATAGAAGGTGGCAGAGGGGAGGGTAACTATAATATCTGATGTTACTGTGGTTGTAGAAACTAAAGCCAAATTAAAAGCAATTTGTAGAAATTAAATGCTTGCAATTGATACCTTACTAAAGAATCAATGAGCACCATTTCATGGATAACCCAGAATCGTTTCCCACAGTCTATAATTTCTTTTTGCTTCTTGAAATACTTGTAATATGCTAATATATGCCTGTTACCAAAATGTTTTGCAGTAGATTAATTCTTATTATGAATTGTTATACATAAGGCAATACCAAGCTGATATGCAAACTACCTAGTGTTTTTTGATTTTCTGCTGTTTATAGGCAGGATTGTAATACGAGCCTTGTGCGTGCCTGCTGGAACGAACTGTTTACCTTAGGCCTGGCACAGTGTGCACAGGTGATGAGTCTGTCGACTATCCTGGGAGCGATTGTCAATCACCTCCAGAACAGCATACAAGAAGGTATGTTACGAGTACTGCTAACAATACAGGGATGTTTGGATAACATTGCTCACAAGGTGTTTCCCCATCAGTGGCAGAATTGTTCACCAGGAGCCAGGAGAAGGTGAAGCTTTTTCTGGCATAATTATCTTTCCCCTGGTGATCTACAGTTTTGTTGCACCAATGTCACAGAGATATCTGTGGGATAGAAGAGTCTGTAGAGGCAAGGGGGTCTTCTATGCCTTACTAATATTACAGAGAAAGACAGTACATCCTAAAATATTTTATTGTATGTGCTCAGAGAGTTTTCTTCCCATCCAGATGTATGTTTTTTCCTCTTAAAATAATGATATCCTCTTCCAAACCACACCAGACTTTTTCCTCCGGAACTTTCCTTCTCTTTGTGGTGTAAAAACACAGCATTTGCCAATTAGCACAACAAGCATATTCTTGCATGTCTAATGGTTTTGGATACTACTATAATTCAATAATGAGTAATGTATTTTGAAGTGCCCTTGAAGCATTAAGCAACATAATTTCTTGAATTCTTAACAAGATGTATGTAATTTTATGTTATAATTCAATATTGGTCTGTTGATAATGATGATTATATCCAGAATGGATGAAAATCTGTTATATTTGCTGGTTTTTTTAATTCTTTAAAGACACTTCCAATCAATAGGATTGATTAGCATGAAAATAATATTCATTTTTAAAAGGAGGAAGAAAACAATACTAGCAGTTTAAGCTCTGCAAACACAGTGTAATTCATGAGAACTACTTTAAATTTACATGTCTGTTAAAAGCACTTATAGAATACTATTTGGTACCATTTAAAAATATTTTTAATGCTGTCATTATTGTGCACACAGCAAAAATTAGAAAATAGGTTTTTACTGAGGAGAGTAAAACAGATGTATTTTTCTATAGCTGAAGGATATTAAATATTTTTCCAGCTATCTTCTTTGTATATTTTATAGTTCTACAATCAAGTTTTAATCTACTTTATTAGCTTCATCATAATAAAGTAAATTAGACTGAAATTTGACTATTAAATTGATAGTATGCTTTAATAGCTTTCTTAATGAATACAGAATTTTTTCATGTTTTGGTTTTGAGGTTTTTCTTGTTGGTTGGTTTTTGTTTGTTTTGGTTTGTTTTCTCATTTAAGAGAGCCTGGACAGTCCCAAAATACAACAGAGTGCTGCTCCTTTCCTGCACAGAGAGGCAAAAGTTGAAAAGTTGATCAGTAGGGAAACTTGCATATTGAATGTTCTATGCAAAGTTAGGCTTTTATTTTATATCTGTTTCAGAATACACAGAGTTGTCTATTCCACATTTGTTCCAAGCAGTGGAGAGGAGTAAGTGGCAGGGCTATTACAGCTGGTTCCACTTCTGTTCTTATGCATCAATATTGTAAAAAAATAATTTTTTTCTATTATCTGTATTGGACTCACACTGCATTTGCTGAGACCAGCCAATAAAAGAGGATCATTAGTGTTATTCATCAGTTCTGCAAAGTTATAATGTTATATTGTATATAATACCTCCAAAATTCAAAACATAGTGAAGAAATTTGAGAACTTGATTTATTTATTACTGATTAAGCTACTTAGAAACTCTGGAATTCTAGTTTGCTTTTCCTGAGTTTCTCTGGACCATATTTTCCCACTTAATACAGGAATGAAAACATTACATTATGTCAATCTTCATCCATCTTGAGTAACTAAAAATTTGTATCACAATTAATGATTTAAGAAATGTAGATTATGCTTTCATTCTTACGTCAATACTGTGCAAAAAATGGTTCTTCCATTCATTCAATCTTCTTATTGCAGTTTCAGAAAATGGATAAAATAGTAATAAACTATGTCAATGATTCAGTTTAAACCACATGGTGTCTAAGCAATCCTATGCAGAATTAGCTGTATAGAGAAAAATAAAATATTAAAATTAAAATTATATTAAATACTAGCATTGGAGATTATAACTGGAATAAAATTATTCTAATGTGTTTTTCAATGGAAGGTTTTATCCCTTGTAAACTGACTTACTCCTGAAGTTTGATGATAGTAATTATATATTCAAAAATCTGTCTTAATGTATTCTGTAATGTTTTTATTCCTTGACTAGTTTGTAGATATGAAGTTCAATATAAGGATTTCCATTTACCAAAATTGAACTCTCTACCTTCCTAGTTTAGCAGCTAATACCACTCACTTGTAATAGATCTATAAATAGAATAAATTTTTAAAATTAGAATTTTAAGATAGATTATGAACCCAATATAAGGAATGTGATCTTTCAAATGCTAGAAGAATCTCCATACACACTGTGTATGTGTATTTCAGTGAATTTACCCTATCACATGGGGAAAAGATTATTTACCATAGCTAATGAAAAGTTCACTCCTAAAAGTACAGACAGAGGAGAAGGTAGCACTGTCATTACTGTTCTTGCATTCACTTTTGGAAAGGCTAATTCAATAATGTTTGAATTTAAAATCAGGGTTGCATGTTAGCATTTGCTTTGTGCTTCTGTTCATTCCCAGAATTACCGTAGCCATTTGTAGAATAATGCACCATAATTTCTGAATCTTTGCTCAGAACAGTATATCACTTGGAAAATATTTGGTGTGGCAGATTATGCTATCCTGGCAAAATTACACAGAAGAGTTAACATTCTGTTTGCTAGCTCTAGGTCTGACTCAACTTTATAAATTCACTTTGCTTTCATAATCATTCAGGCCATCCTTACACATTAAGTGCTTCTAAGACAGCAAAAGACTTGCAAATATCATTTGACTTGGTTTATAAAACTTTATTTGTTAATATATTAGAAATGCTTGAGCTCAGATGAAATAGTAAGCAATATCTTTTTGTAGATAAACTTTCTGGAGACAGAATAAAGCAAGTCATGGAACACATCTGGAAACTTCAGGAGTTCTGTAACAGCATGGCCAAGCTTGATATTGATGGATATGAATATGCATACCTTAAAGCTATAGTCCTTTTTAGCCCTGGTAAGGAATTTAGTAACCATATCTTTTTAAATAATAAGCCTTAATATGTTGATTCTTTAGCATTTTTTAAACGAGACTAATGTCTTGAGATGAGACTCATCTGTTAAGTTGCAGATAAAATTATTGTTTCATTGTGATTATCACAATATGTCTTTCCAAATAACTTCAGAGCAGCATATCCCATGTTATTTACAGTTCAAATCTCTCAGGTGTTTCCTGTACATCCACCCTAGAAAATTAAATTCTCATGTTTCCTTCAGCTGAGAATCTATGAGTAGTAAATAATCTGGAATGTGTACTAGCAATATTATTG